AAACAGTTTCAAGAGACGTTTAACTTGGAAGTGACCGGTACCTTAGATAATGCAACATTAGAATTATTAAACCAACCACGATGTGGTAATAAAGATAATCCACTGCCATTTGCAGTTATACCTAACCGTAAATGGAATACAACAGTAATTACATGGTATGGATATAATATATCTCATCTAGGTAATATTATTATTGAAAAAGCATTCCGTGTATGGGAGAAACATGCAAACATTACTTTTAGAAGGTCATTTCATAATCCTACCATCTTTATTTCATTTTCAGTTCAAAGTAAACATATGTTCTACGCTAGAAAAATTACATGTCATTATGAATTTGATGGGCCCGGTTTAGAACTATCTCATGCTTATACACCTCAAGCTGGATTTAATTCAACCGATATTCATCTGGACTCTGAGGAGAATTGGGATTATACTATGGACTTACCGCGTTATGAAAACATTTCGTTTTTTCTAACATTAGTACACGAGATTGGACACGCGTTAGGTTTAGACCACTCTTTTGATAACGAATCAATAATGTACCCTTTTATGAGGCATCCTCAAGGAATCGTAGATCTAAATGAATTTGAATTAGGTAAAGATGATATATTAGCTATTCAGTTTCTATATGGTAGACGCCCTATTCAAACAACAACTATTAAACCAACAACAACTATTAAATCAACAACATCCACAACATCTACAACAACTAGTAAACCACTACCAACAACAACAACAACAACTAGTAAACCAGTTACATTTACAAAACAAAATAACTATGAAAATATCAATATTTGTGAACTAAAAAGAAACATATCTACATACATAATTGTAAATAAGAAAATATTTGCATTTTTGCTAGATCGTGTATGGATACTAAGTCTTGACCCTGCAGAAAGAACCCCGGAACAGTATAATACAAGTATAAAGATTACAGACTGGCTAAACTTTCTACCTCATGATTTTAAAGAGGTATCAGCCATTTACCAAAGACCAAGTGGTCAAATAGCTTTATTTAGCGGGAAAGATGTTTACCTATTTCAATATCCATCATTAGCATTTAATGTTAGATATAGTATTAGTAATGTAGTAGGGAGACCTGTTAGTAATGTAAATGCAGTTTTAGCCGGTAACACAGGTAAGACCCTGTTGCTTATAGACAATTGGTCTTTATACTCACTGGATGAGTGTTCATTCAGAGCTACTCATTTAGGTGGTATAAGCTCCTACTTGAATGGGGTTCCTAACAGTGTTAATGGGGCTTTTCGGTATATAAATGGTAGACTATACTTTTTAACTGACAGTGCTGTTTTGGAGTACAACGAGTTTATAGGCGCTGTTACGGGATCGGTAAAAAGTACATTTGATATTTTAGAAATTACCTGTATACGTGAGACATTGCTCACCAGATTGTATGAGGTGCTTAAATACCTACAGTAATGAAAAAGACACTCAGAAAGAAACGATTCCCCAAAAGAGGAAGTGGGCTTGTTGCTTCAGCTATAAATAAGGTTATCGATAAATTATCTATTGAACTACATTTACCAGCCAGTATTAACCCTTTTAATTTTAAGCATTTTAATTACTGTGACCTGGAACAAAATTAAAGGGAAGGTAAAAAAAAAGGAGATAAAGGAATAAACAAATTAGACGAGGCGTGTAAGGTACACGATATTGCCTATTCAAAATACAAAGATAACGCGAGCCAACTAAACGCAGACCAGCAGCTGATTGATAGCGCGTGGCAACGTGTAAAAGCATCAGACTCTAGTGTTGGCAAGAAAGCCACAGCTCTAGCGATAACAGGTATAATGAAGACTAAAACAGCTTTTGGAGGAGGTCAAAAAAAGAAAAGAAGACATGCCCCTAAAACAAGGGGTAAGGGTCTGTATCTTAGACCATATAAAAGAGAAGGTGGTGGTAAGAGGAAAGTAAAACGTAGAATTATAAAGAAAAAAAAAGCTTGTCAATACCGATAAAACCTCTAACAAACTATGACTTGATAAAGTATGCAAAATTACTTAAAATACCAAACTTTAGAGGTGTATATATGAGGGATGGTTTACCAAAAAAGTCAAAAGTGTATGAATCAGCAATAGTGAATTTAGACAGTACAAGTAGTATAAAACACGGGGGTGATCCCGTGACGTCATAATTAGGTAATTGGTAAGTATTTTGTGATTGTGGAGCAGCGTGAATTACGCAGCGACTCTGGCGATGTATGTTGTGGATTGGTTGGTATTGTTATTAGGTCAAGGTTGTCTGAATGTGTTTTTTTAAATGTTCAGCTTTAATGTTTCAAATATACCATGTACTGGATTGTAAAAATATGTATTGTTCCATTTAACTATCCATCAACTAGCTGTCTCATATAATCTTCGAACTCTGGGCGGAGAAAGTACGAGGTACTAGATACTTGTGAGTTCTGTATCGGTGACATAGTTACGTCTACTGCGTTTTGTTCTTGAGTGTTTTGTTCTTGAGTGTTTTGTTCTTGAATATTATTATTTGAGATATTCGATGTTGAAGATATTTTGGGGTCTTGAATAGGAGCTGAATTTCTTGCAGACATGTTTTCCTGACGGTAGCTAAGAGTCAAATGATCTGTAGTTTACTCTGTTAACACTTATATAGTGTTTACAGAAATTCTAAATGTTTGCACAGAGACGTTTCAATCTTCCGAGAGATGATTCTCACGGAACGACAACAGATGTGAGTGTTCGCATGTGTGTGCCTATAAATAACTAGGCCTACTCGTTCTCGCGGGGGACCGACATGTGATTAACTGTTATTGCTTTACTTTTTCTAGCGTCACTGATTACGCTTAGCGGTGTTACGGCTTTTTGTTAATGGATTATTTTATCTATGTAGGAGGTAAGTTAACCTATTATTGTTTCTGCATTGTGTTCAAGATTGTTGTTTGTCGCGCAAACTAGACACGCTTCATTCGTATTGCGTACTGCTTTGTGTCAAGCAATTTTATCCTGTCACATTTTGTAATTTCCAGAGTTTTAATTATATTTCCCTGTTGTATTTTAAGTTTAAGTGTTTCCAGTTTGTGATACACGTCGTCCCATTGTGATTTGTGGAATATTCCCTAAATATACAGGTAATTAATTTTTCTTGTCATATACATATAGTATCCTAATATATATTAGCTTTTACTATTTATTTATAAGAAGCTCATTCCTTAATCATTACTTAAATTAGCTCAACTATTTGTATAAAAGATCCTACCACTATTTTGTCTAATCATTTAAATACAACCTTTCTCATAGTATAAAAACGAAACTAACTTATCTTTCAAATATAATCCTAATTATATGAAAACTTTACAAGACTATAAATAAATATTTCGGTAAATCTGCACTTACAAAACACTTATCTTAACTCAAAAATTCTTTTGCTGTATGAATACAACAATATACGTTACAACCATTTTTACCGCCTATTTTATAATAATTTTCTACAGAATAAAACGGCTTTCGATTAGAAATAGTTTAGGTATTGGCAGTGAGTTTTTAGTCTTTTCACGTGATATAAAAATTTGAGGCCAATCTCACTAGAGTTTACTAGTGTATTTTGTTGACTATTAATTAAAACTAATGCAGTACATAGCAAACAGCTGATTGATTTATCACTTAACAGATTGCACTACGTTTCTTTTTTGCTTCAAATTTTTACATTACTTGGGAAGTCTATTCTGTGTATAGTCAATGGTTTTATGTTTTTAAGAAAATTGGTATTCCAATATCGCTAAATCACTATACGTATTTAATGTCTCACATTTTGTAACAGATGTTATGTAAACCGCAAATAATCTTTCTTGTGATATATACAAACAAAAAACTATATCATTTACCTCAAATCATTATATTATAATAAAAAATAAATGATTTAGGATAAAAAAAATATCTTATAATGTACATTGTCCTTGCCAAAATAAATGTATGTTTATTCAAGTTCACCTCATATTTTGTTGTAGTCCTAATGATAATATTAATTACCTTTTGTTGTTTTTGTATTTGTTAAAATATGGACTGATTAAACTGAATAACTAAACATTTTTAAGATTGAAAAAATGTTTACCGATTTCCTTAACTAACAATGTATAAACGTATAAATTGTTCTTCACAAAACGAGATATCTAAATATGACTCTAATACATTAATTATTAACTTGTTTGGATTATAAAAGGTAAAATGTGATTGCCTAAAATTATACTTTGTTTTTTATTGAGGATTGCTTTATTGACATACGTAAAAATTTCTTCACATTCTAATAATCATAATAGAAAACTATATATTTTACTTAACAATTTTTATATTAAATTATTCTTTGTTCTTTTATCTCAAATTGCTTTCTCACGTACATGAATTGACTCACTTTTTGTTACGCTCTTAAATTATAATATTAATCAAGGTACTTCTCATAGTCAGTTGGCGACTTTATTAAAATATAGCTCGATTAAATTGGTTGTTTTTTATACGATTTTCTTAACATATGACTTGTTCTTCTCAAAATAAACATATAAAATGGTTCTAATACTTAATTGCTTAATGTGTTTTTTTTTCTTCTAGAGTTAACTAACGCAGCTTTACTTGAAACACGGAGTATTCCTGATTTACTACAGGTAATTATTTGAAAAATCTTAGTTTACGCATAGTTCAGATGGTTTCTATCTCTTTGTAATCTTTCCTTAAAAAATACATGTACAACTAAATATATTTTAGTTAATAGTATTTATATTAAATTATTCTTTGTTCTTTTATCTCAAATTGCTTTCTCACGTACATGAATTGTTTCACTTTTTGTTATGCTCTTAAATTATAATATTAATCAAGGTACTTCTCATAGTCAGTTGCTGACTTTATTAAAATATAGCTCGATTAAATTGGTTGTTTTTTATACGATTTTCTTAACATATGATTTGTTCTTCTCAAAATAAACATATAAAATGGTTCTAATACTTAATTGCTTAATGTGTTTTTTTTTCTTCTAGAGTTAACTAACGCAGCTTTACTTGAAACACGGAGTATTCCTGATTTACTACAGGTAATTATTTGAAAAATCTTAGTTTACGCATAGTTCAGATGGTTTCTATCTCTTTGTAATCTTTCCTTAAAAAATACATGTACAACTAAATATATTTTAGTTAATAGTATTTGTAAAATGCTACGATTGTTATGTGTTTATTTTACTTAGCTCGGTTAATAATTTAATTTACTTCATATCTCGTTCTTATTGTTTCTTGTATTATTGAACATTCTTAAGCCAAAAAATATATTTTAAATTGTAATTTGCATCTCCATAAGTATTATAAAATCACGTATCTTGTTTTGGATTATTAAAACGGCTATTCCGCTATCTTTCAAATAATATTAATATCAAAATAAATATTAATAATTAATGGCTGCTCTTGCTAGTCCCCCACTACACCTCATATCCTTTGATTGGGTGGGTAGACCACGCCTCCAGCAAGCCCCGTCCCCACTACGCTACCTGTCCTGTGATTGGCTGAGTAGACCACGCCTCCACTTAGTCCAACCCCCCACCAGAGCGCACAAAACTAGTTGAATCTCTTTCAAACCTCACTACATCTTGTGTACTCGCACGGTACACATCATGTTCTGTCTCCTTTCAAACCCTTGTCTATCTAGGGTTTGAATGAATCTTTATCATGCGACAGTGGTCAAACCAAGTTGCATTTCTATCCATCCTTTACATACAACAGTGGTCAAACCAAGTTGTATTTAAATCCTTCCTGAACATGCGACAGTGGTCAAACCAAGTTGCATTTCTATCCATCCTTTACATACAACAGTGGTCAAACCAAGTTGTATTTAAATCCTTCCTGAACATGCGACAGTGGTCAAACCAAGTTGCATTTCTATCCATCCTTTACATACAACAGTGGTCAAACCAAGTTGTATTTAAATCCTTCCTGAACATGCGACAGTGGTCAAACCAAGTTGCATTTCTATCCATCCTTTACATACAACAGTGGTCAAACCAAGTTGTATTTAAATCCTTCCTGAACATGCGACAGTGGTCAAACCAAGTTGCATTTCTATCCATCCTTTACATACAACAGTGGTCAAACCAAGTTGTATTTAAATCCTTCCTGAACATGCGACAGTGGTCAAACCAAGTTGCATTTCTATCCATCCTTTACATACAACAGTGGTCAAACCAAGTTGTATTTAAATCCTTCCTGAACATGCGACAGTGGTCAAACCAAGTTGCATTTCTATCCATCCTTTACATACAACAGTGGTCAAACCAAGTTGTATTTAAATCCTTCCTGAACATGCGACAGTGGTCAAACCAAGTTGCATTTCTATCCATCCTTTACATACAACAGTGGTCAAACCAAGTTGTATTTAAATCCTTCCTGAACATGCGACAGTGGTCAAACCAAGTCCCATTTCTACCCTTCCTTAACATACAGCAATGGTAAACCCAAGCTGCTCCTTTCAAGCCCTTGCCTATGTTATATGTCTAAAAGTTCTTCATGCATGTACTGTTTAGTCTTTCTTGCTAGATAATTTGCTTTAGTAGTTGTGACTTGGTGTTAGTGGTTTGAATCTTTGCATGTTTTTTTTTAAATAACTAATGACCTTGACCTACTTGTATTATTGGTTGTTTGAAACTTTATCTTTAAAATAGTTTCTCTGCCCACATGCAACTCCTCCTTTTAGATGTACTTATTCCCCCACCTCTTTACCACACTCAAATCTTCCCCCACTCTGTCTATCTATATCCCCCACCACTTAGGGTGGGTATAAATGAGAGAGCATATTGGTTAATAACATCATTCTGTTGCCAGCCTGCAGAAAAGCCATGGACCCCTGCTTAAGAAAGACTACCAAGCCAATGAAGCCAGTGGCAGGCATGAAGAGATCTAAACTTCAGGAGGCGTTGACTGGAGGTGTTAAGAAGATGAAATCATCAACTCCTTCTGAAACCCTGGTCAACAAGACTCTGTCGCAGCCGGGATCCTCTTCATCTGCCGCCAAGACTCTTTCGCAGCCAGGCAAGACTCTGTCGCAGCCGGGATCCTCTTCATCTGCTTTGTCTGACGATGCAAAGAAAACAACTACAATATCAACTCAATCTTCCCTTGCCGCCAAGACTCTTTCGCAGCCAGGATCTTCTTCTGCTTTGTTTGAAGATAGATTGAAGAAACCTTCTTCTGGTAACACTTCGTCGAAGAAACGGTCTGATTCATCGTCTTCCTCTTCTTCTTCTTCGTCATCATCTTCCTCGTCTTCTTCATCGTCCTCGTCCTCTTCTTCTACGTCATCGCCCAAAAATCAAACAATTAAGTCCCCTCTATCCATGCTTCTCTCTCCCATAATTCTCTCCTTGCTATCTCCTATTAAATCTCCAGAAAAGCCATCCACTCCCAAACGTAAGCCATCTCCAAAACCTCAACCACATAGCCTAACTCTTCCTAATTTAAATTCCTCCTCGAACCAAATGCCTGACATAGATTCTCCTGAAATTACCATTCCAAACCCCCCACCCAAATCCCTCCCTGCTGCACCCACCGTTGTTAGAAAACTCTTTACTAAAACTGAATCCTCAAAAGAATCCCTTCCCCCCATTCAAACCCTTCTGAAAAATTGGTAAAACTCATGGCCAAAAGACGAGCTGCATTTAAGCCCAAGCCACAATGTTCTTATATTTTCCAAAAAGGGGTGAAAAAAGGTGAGCGTTGTGAAAAGTCCTGCTTTTCTGATGCTAATGTGTGCAGCCTCCACACTAAGGGGAAAAGCAGGATGGTACCCACTCAACCTAAAATTATTAGCAGCAAACCTGTCGCTACCAATCCTCAGTCATTTGAAAGACCATCAATAATCGTCAAAAGCCAGGCTCAGGAAAAATCTTGTACATCTGATCCAACACCGAGCACCTCACGTGTTGTTGTGATAGACAAGATTTTGCCTAGCCAACCACGAACGTCAGGCTTTGCTCGACCCTGTCGTCCACCACAAATTCAAGCTAAAAAAACCAGAATTGATAGGCTACCCAAAAATCGTAAATTCGAAATTCTTTTGATGACACCAAACGGTGAAGTCATTTTAAGAGAAGGAAATGACAGGTTCCGACTTAAATTACCCAGAGGCATGACCATCCCGAATACAACCCACCGATACTACATAATTCGTGATCGGTCTTCGGGATGGGCATCTGTAACATTATAAATTGGTTTAGTTTCAAATTGATCTTAATTATCCTCTAAATTCTCCTTTAGTATGCAAAAATTGGGAACGCATTTGTTATAGCCTAACAAATGCGTTCCCAATTTTTGCATTTAAAGAGTGACCTTGAGATTTTAGAAATAGATTATTTTAATCAGAGATTTCCATCTAATTTATTCATAAAACATTAGAAACAAATTTGTTATATCCTAACAATGTGTTCGCAAAGTTTCATGTATAATATTTTGATAAAGTTATTTTAGAAAACATATTGATTGTTCAAGTTGTCCAATATTACATCAACATTTTTCTATATTGTAAAATTAACTATTCTAAGGACATTTAAAAGATATATTATGTTTATCTCGTGTTTTGCAAAAAGATCTTCATTGCCATTGTGTATAAATTAAGTGTAACACTTTATGATATAACTCAATATATTTTCATAATCCTCAAAGGCATCTAGGCATACAAACACAAAATTTATTTGCATTAACTGTTTAAGTTAATTCCTTTACATTTCATCTTTGTTAACAGGTTTACTTGAATAGTAGTTGTACATTTTATACTTAAGTAGTGTTGAACTTTACAAGACATAGAAAACAAACATATAAATGGTTAGCAACCATAATACTTTGTTCCATTCGTTTTTTAAGTATGGAAATAAATATGATAGAAGTTTCTATGTTTGGTTTTTCTTATTAAAACCCCTACTGATCCATTTTTAATATTGCAAATTACTAAGACGTAAAGATGTATCGTTTTATGATCAATACAGTTGCGGAAATTTTATTAGCTTAATAACTTTGTCCAACAAAATTAGGTCAAGGTTAAACTGAAGAGTTTTTAAAAAATAATAAAATCAGCTACATATCTTCTGATTCACTCTCTGAACTAAAGGATAAACTTCTTCGAAAATTACCACAAAACTTTTTAGTTGTTGTCAAATTTATACTTAAGTAGTGTTGAATTTTATTAGACATAGCCAATGAATATATAAATTATTAGTAGCCATAATACTTTGTCTACATTCGTTTTGTAGCAAGAATAGGAATAAATATACCAGAATTTTATGTTTTTAACATTGCAAATAGTTTGTTCTGCTACGTCACCATGACTTAAAAATTGCTAAGATGTAATATGTAATGATGCTATTAGCTTGATTAACTGTGTCCAACAATTAGGTCAAGGTTAAACTGAAGAGTTTTTAAAAAATGGTAAAAAGCTACATATTTTCAGATTCACTCTCTGAACTAAAGGATAATCTTCTTCGAACATTGCCACAAAACTGTAATACTCGACAAAGTTTATTTTCTCCATTTTCAACTTCATCTGCTTGAACTGGAATCTTTGGTGTTTCACAGTAGTCCGAATGAAATTCATTGTTCGGTGTGGGTTGACCTTGTTCGTTGTTCACATCCTCGTCCAGTTGTTCTTCCTCTAGCATCTCTTGCAAGTCCTCGTCGTTTTCTGTATCACTTTCATTTTGTGCTTCATCAAAATCAGTCTCCCAGATTCGAGGCTCTACTCCAGTAAGGTTCGTGTGGTCCGTAGGAGGCATTGCGAATATGTAAGCTATAATGCTGCTTCCTGCGTTATTATAAAATCCCGCCCACGACCCCCACCACCACCATAAAATACTTATGCCATTGGTGGAAAGGGTTGGGGTCTAATCCCCTCCCCCTTATTGAATAAATAGAGTGGGGGGTTATACACTGTGTTATATATATAAGTCACGCACGCAACTGATATCATTCCTATGAACACAACCATGCAGTGTGTAATGTAGCTAGTTTCCTTAGTAGTGTCTTAAACTACGAAAATGTATCAATGTGAAAATTGTCATGAGTCTTTTGAGGATGAATTTCTCCTCAATATTCATAATGAACTATTACATATGTCTAATGAATCTTCAACACCTATGGAATATGAAGATTTGATTGAAGACCCCTTCTTACAACAGAACAGACCAACAGTTATACAGTATGCACCACCAAACCAACAATTATCAGTAGAAATATTAGCCCAAGCATTTCCTAAAGCCATAGTAAACCATTTCAAAATTTCTAATACAAATTATGATTTGTCAGATTTTATTTTAAAAGCTAAACCCCTTATCATAAAAACACTACAACAGGAACTAACCAGACTTAATTTTATCAAATTTGGCTTGCTCTTGGACACTAGATTTACAAATGTACAAAATGAGGTGTCCCCTCGGGGGTTTATAACACGAAATAAATCCATCATGGTAACCACTGATCTGGAGGCTGAAGTCGACAGTTGCTTGGAAGAAATTGTTGTTAAAATATCTGAACATGAAGGAAGAGGATCTGGGTGGTCTTTGTTAAGCGTAGACAGCTTAGATATACGTGTACATAAACATGGGTATGGTGATAGAGGTAGTAGTTTCATCCCACTGCCCAAAAAGATTGCTAATACAAGAACTTGCATAAATGTTCAAAATGAAGACAATGAGTGTTTTAAGTATGCTGTTTTAGCAAAGTTTGTTGAAGACAGGCACGCCTATAGACCAAGCCGTTATTATAGTGAAGTGGCTCATAAATATAATTTTACAGGTTTGGTTTACCCAGTGTCTTTAAAAGATATCAAGAAATTCGAAAAACAAAATCTTAATTCATCCGTTAATGTGTATGGATTGGATGAGTCTAATAATGTGTTTCCTATTCAGATTACATCTCATGAACGTAGAGACCATACAGATCTTTTACTTCTTACAAATGGTAAAATCTCACATTATGTTTACATAAAAAACTTTTACGCACTTTTATCAAGACAGTTATCCAAAAGGAAGATGAGTCTCACCATTTGCAAACGGTGTTTTTGCTACGCTGCCAAACCATTTCATTTGGGGGGTAAGGAATGGTTACTTGACCACCAACGTCTCTGCAATAGTAAGGACGAAGTAAGGGTTAAATTACCTCACCCTAATAGAGCTTTTATTAAATTCAACAAAACGGCTCAACAATATCGAATACCAATTGTTATATATGCAGACTTTGAGTCATCGTTAGTTCCTTTAGTTTTAGATGAGTGTGATCAAAGCAAAATTAAAAAAATTCAATTTCATGAACCAAACAGCTTTTGTTTAATGCTTAAATCAACTTTGGATGAAGATCATTTACGTCAGTACGGGTTGACAACCCAACCACTTGTATATCGCGGTGAAAATGCTGCTAAGTCATTTGTAGATAACCTTTATGATATAGCTAATAAGGTGGAAAAACTGTATAGTTATGTAGTTCCAATGATTAATCTTACACATGATGAATTGACATTCCATGAAAGTGCGGATAGATGTTACCTTTGTGACTGTAGTTTTACAGAAGACAACAGGCGTGTTCGGGATCATGATCACCTGACTGGTTTTTACAAAGGCCCTGCTTGCAACAGTTGTAACATTAATTTTAAATTACCAAAGTTTATCCCAATAGTGTTCCACAATTTAAGTGGATATGACTCTCATTTCATAATTCCTGAATTAGGTAGAGACAAAGGGGCGATTGATGTTTTAGCTACAAGTACGGAGAAATTTATTAGTTTTTCGAAAAAAGTGGGTAAAATAAAATTAAGGTTTGTAGACTCTTTCAGATTCATGGCTTCTAGTTTAGAGAAATTGACAGCTAATTTGCAAAGAGAACATTTTATTGAAACTCAAAAGATTGTCGCATCTGATCACATGGATTTGGTTCTTCGTAAAGGAGTGTACCCTTATGATTATATTGATAATCCTGAAAGATTTAACGAGACCTCACTACCACCCATTGAGGCATTTTACAGTCAGTTAAATGATTCTAATATTGACCCTGAAGACTATCAACATGCTTGTCAGGTATGGAGTGAGTTAAACATGAACACCTTAGGCGAGTATAGTGACTTTTATGTGAAGTTAGATGTAACACTTCTTTGTGATATAATGGAGGAATTCCGTAACACCTGTATAGCGGCCTACGGATTAGACCCTCTACATTCATACACCTCGCCTGGATTAGCTTGGCAAGCTATGTTAAAAGAAACAAAATGTACATTACAGCTGTTAACAGACATTGATATGGTGCTTATGATTGAATCTAGTATCCGTGGGGGACTTACCCAGAGTGTAACAAGGCATGTCAAAGCAAATAATAAACACATTCCAAACTTCAAGAAGGAGGACCCATCAGTTTATTTAGGGTATTTTGACGCCAATAACTTATATGGGTGGGCAATGTCAAACCCACTTCCATATGGTAATTTTCAATGGATTGATCCAATATTATTAGGTGATGTAACAAGTATCCCAAAAAATGGAGACACCGGATTCATAATGGAGTGTGATTTTGAATACCCATCCACACTTCATGATCATCACTATGATTTACCTCTATTAGCTAAATCTGAAATACCACCAGACGGAAAACATCCTAA